CTCTGTCTTGGTGAAGGAGGGCTACTGGTTAACCTCTGTCTTGGTGAAGGAGGGCTACTGGTTACCCTCTGTCTTGGTGAAGAAGGGCTACTGGTGAACCTCTGTCTTGGTGAAGGAGGGCTACTGGTTAAGCTCTGTCATGGTGAAGGAGGGCTACTGGTTAACCTCTGATGCTGTGAATGAGAACTACCTGGTTAGCCTCTGCCTCAGTGGCATGTTTCTATTGAAACTCGTGGTTCCTCTATACCACCTGTGGTTTCTTCAGGAGAGAAGTAGCTATTCCTTAGTAAGGAATGTGGGGGGTATTTAGGGAGGCAGAAAAGGAGATAATTTTCTTTTGTCCCTGGACATTCCCATAAGATAGCTATGTTTAAGTGTCTTCCTCTGGAAAGGAGTAACATCCAGTAATGATGAAAACTCAGCTTTCACAAGGATCCCCAGTTGGTCACTAATGTCTCATTCTGTGTTGCAAACAAAGGGTGTCTTGCTTTTTTGGGGGGCTAGGGGCAACTAAAACATTACCACTGTTTGCTTTGGACTAGAGTTACATTCTTAAGGCAGCTGAAAACCAAATGTGTGCAAATGCAGACACAGTTTCCCACTGGTGCCCATTAGAAAAGGGCAGATTTGTTCCCAAGGTGAGGAGAGTGAACTGGAAGCCCAGGATGAAATGAGCCCTGGCGAACGCCCGCTGTGTGGGCCACACACTTTAAGGGAAGGCTGTCACTACGTTTTCTTCTTGCCATTGTTCCCTCTTGTGCATAGTCGGGGCTTCTGGGTTGAATAGAGTTAAAACCGCCCTGGATAATGTGTGCGGGGGCCGAGGTGCTCCCTCACAGCCTGCTCCCCCGGGGACTGCTCGCCCTGTGCTTGGCCCCTGCCAGCTACTCCTCCCTGCCCGAAACCTCCCTCCCTGGCTCTGCCTCCACCAGCAGCAGCCTCCTGGTGGTTCCCGTCCACCTCCTTGTGACCTTCCTCTGTCTGTGTCATCTGCATTGCTCAGAAAATCCAAGACCTGGAGGCCACACTGTACACAGCGCTGCAGCAGGAGCCGGGGCGGAGGGCCGGTGAGGCGCTGAGCGAGGGCCAGCGGGAGGACCTGCAGGCTGCGGTGGAGAAGGTGCGCAGGCAGATCCTCAGGCAGAGCCGAGAGTTTGACAGCCAGATCCTGCGGGAGCGCATGGAGCTACTACAGCAGGCCCAGCAGGTAGGCGGCGATAGCTGCTGCGCCCACAGCTCCCCTGGCACCCCCGTTGCCCTGTGTGCACCTTGGCACCCTGATGGGCCCCTGGGTGCCCCAGGCTTGTTCCAGGTAGAGTTGGTGGTAAAGTAAGTTTCTGAGAAGCAAGATCTCATCGATGCCCGTCATAACTCCCTGTGACGGGGCAAGACGTGGGGCACTTGGGCATTCTGTGGAGCAAATGCTGAAATGTCCATCCAAACCATAGTGCCTTCTCCCTCAGCCCTCTTCCTCCAGCATCTGCACGCTCTTTCCAGGTCAGATGCTGGTGACCAGGAGGCACTTGCTGAATGGTTTGCTTTTCTGCTGGCTTTTGTGATGGCGGCTCATTTGAGGATTGGGCCTGGAAGGTGTATGGGTTGTAGGTCTGAGAACCTCAATGCCTTCCAAGGTTCAGTGTTGCTTGTGAGTTTCATGTGCTACTGAGCACATGGGGAGCTGCGCTTCATGACTCCTGAGTGACAATGAAGGGAAAGAAGCAGTGGCACGCAGAGCGTTTGTTGGGCGCTCACTGTGTGTCTGGCGGTGGCTCCCTGCACTGCAGATCCTTCATCTCATGGACAGTACAGGTGGCCGTTATGATGTCCATTTTCGAGATGAGAGAACTCAGGCTCAGTGAGGCTAATTTATGTCCCTGGAGGTCACCCAGATAGTAAGGATCTAGATTACTGGTGGAGGTATGCCACAGAAGGGAAAAAGAAGGGGGATGCGAGCAGAGAGAGAGAGAGAGAGAGAGAGAGAGAGAGAGAGAGAGGGGTTGACTTATTTTAAGGTACTGGCTCACACAACTGTAGATGAATGCTCAGCAAGTTCACAGTCTTCGAGGCAGGCCAGAGCTCCTGGGAAGAATTGTAGTTCAAGCCTGGCCGCCTGCTAGCAGCATGCCTTCCTCCTTGGGGAGGTCAGTGTTTCTCTCAAGGCATTCAGGTGATTGAATGAACCCCTCCCCTCACCAACCACCACATTATGGAGGCTCATCTGCTTTACTCAAAGTCTACTGACTTAGATGTTTATCTCATCTAAAAAAGACCTCCACAGAAACATCTAGTTTTGTTTTTTGAGATGGAGCCTGGCTGTCGCTCTGTTGCCCAGGTTGGAGTGCAGTGGTACAGTCTCACCTCACTGCAACCTCTGCCTCCTGGGTCAAGTGATTTTCCTGCCTCAGCCTCCTGAGTAGCTGGGATTATGGGCCCCCACCACCACACCGAGCTAATTTTTGTATTTTTAGTAGAGATGGGGTTTCTCCATGTTGGCCAGGCTGGTCTTGAACTCCTGACGTCAAGTGATCCACCCACCTTGGCCTCCCAAAGAACTGTGATTATAGGCATAAGCCATGGCATCTGGCAACATCTAGAATATTTGACCAAATATCTGGGTACCATGGCCTAGCCAAGTTAACATAAAATCAATAATCATCACCATCAAAGGAAAGGGCATTCAGGCAACAGAGCAGCATGGTGTGGGTCAGCTTAGGGCAGCAAAGAAGCTGAAAACACAGACACTGGGACCAGATGACCTGGCTCTGAACTCTGGCTCTTCCACTTAGATGCCTTGGACAAATTACTTAACCTCTCTGGGCCTCAATGTCTTCCTCATGGGGATGATGACAATGCCTATGTCATTGGGGCATGGTGAGGTTTAGATAATTATGACTTGTAAAATGCTCTCCATAATGCAGACCACTATGGGTTCTTGCTGAATGTAGACTGTGGGTGGAAATAGCAGGAGCAGATGGGGAGTTAGGAGCCAGGTGCTGAGTTCTGAGAGCACTGTGCCTTCATTTCAGGACTTGCTCACTGAAGTGTGCAGCAGATGAAGGAATTGATTCTGTGTTCAGGAGATCCAGCTCAAAGAACAGAGCAACATTTGTGTGTTTGAGGAAAAAAAAAATCATTACCCCACTTGAGGATTCAAATCTCATGGAATGTGCTGCTTTTGGTGACCTGAATCTGAAATGTGTGATGGGTTAGAGAGCACACCATAAAGACACAGGGCAATGCCACATTCCACTGTGACTCCTGGAAAAGCCCCCACGCTGCACGTGCTGAAAAATGAACCCAGGATCTGAGTGATTTTTTTTAAAAAGCCAAAAAGCAAGCCATAGTGGTGTCTGCCTGCTGGGCAGTGGAGGATCAGCATCCCTTAAAGAAAAAAGTCATTTAAAATGTAAATGTTTTCTAGTGTTTATGTAAAATCATAGGGGACAAATCACTTCCTTTTATCAAACTGTGTAGTCAATTGCATGGAATAGCTTGAACAGTAACTTAACCAGGGTTGGTACTGCTTTTCCTTTATCTTTGGATCATTTTCAAATTAGTTGAGAATTCTGCTGAAGGTAATTAGTAGACACTCCTTTCTCCCACTGAATACTGAAACTTCCCCGACCTCAGTTTTATTAAAATACAGTGATATGTACATATAAGCCGAAGTCACTACATTTATTTAACAACACATTGCTCTGAGGCTTTAATGAGATAAGTTATGCAAATCAATTCACCTGGGGCATGGTAGGTGTTCAATGAAAGGAGAACTCTCTTTATGTCATAATGCATGGATGTCAATACCCAAGGTAGTGTGTGGCCCCAACCACTCAGTGTGGTTCTTGGACCAGGGACATTGGCATGATGCTGAGACCTCCTAGTAATGCAGGATCTCAGGCCCTGCCCCAGGCCTATGGAATCAGTTTCCACATTTAAGAAAATCCCATGATGATTTCTGTGCAACTTCTAGTTGTTAAACCTTCATCTTATAGATGCATGGCTGTGAGTTCTGGGGGGATGTAAGGGTCTGTTACATTTTTGGTTTAGTAAGAATGTGTTATTATTCCTTCCCTTTCCCCTCACCCTGTCTCCCTCCTTTAGCACACAAGGCAGCAGAATCCAGGGAAAAGGGTTCTACCTCCTCCCTGCTTTGAGTTCAGCTCCAGAACTGTCAGCAAGGCTTAACATTTGCTGGCCTCAGCTTCTTCATCTATACTATGGGCAGTTCTGAGCGGCTGCATCTCCAGGCATTGCCTTGAGGCTCTGGCGTGGTTCTGCAGGTTGAAAAAGCTTGGCCAAACTCTCCCGGTGTAACTGACGATGCCATGATGTGTGCTGACTCTTGCTCCTCTTCCCTGTGGAGTGTTGCACGTGTGTCATAGAAACAGCAGCCTGGAGCCCTCAGCCAGCAGGCCTCAGCCTTCATAAAAGAGGTGCAGATTTAGGAGCACATCTGTTTAACGGGATGCTTCCTTTAACAGGCCTTCCTGGAAGTGGGTGGTCGCAGTATGACTCCTGGGCAGAAGGGAGGCTTCCCAGCCAGCCCAGTGACCGCATGGTACTGGGGAAGTACGATGCTGCTGCTTCCAGCTTACATTCAACAACCATGCGTGGAGCAGCCACCCCGTGCCACCCCGTGCTTTGGCTGTTGAGAGTGGAACAGTGGGCAAAGTCCTGCTTCCGTGGATAGGATGTTCTTATATTCTGGGGAGAGGAAACAAGGAAGACTGGAACAAACGTTGAGGGTGTCAGAAACAGGCAGAGGCTGAAATGGTGCGAGGGGGTGAGCCGGGCAGCCGCCTGGCAGAGAGAACAGCACGTACAAAGCCCCTGAGGTGGAAACCCTTTATCGTGGTTGAGGAAAGGCTTTATGTTTTCAAAGGGTTGCAGTTGGCAAAAGTGGTACCCTGTACATAGGATTTTACAGAGAAACCACCACCCTGAAACAGTGGTTGTAGTGAGCATCATGAAAACACCTGTTGTAAACAGGTGTTTGGCTACCTAATTAAGGCTTCAATCCTGCTTAAATAGAAGAAGAGATGAAGGCACAGAGGCAATACAGCTGGATGAAGGTCCACCAGCCATAAGGTAACCCTTCCAGGCCAGGCCCATCCTGAGTCCACCGCCAGAGCCCTGGTCTCCACACTGCATGATTCCCTGAGGATTCACTATCCATGCTGTTTTTTTAATTGTTTGTTAATTGCTATCATTCAATAGTTTCCAGAAATCTGGTATTTTCAGAAGAGTATTGAAAACTACATTTGTTTTCCAGAGGGAAGGAATTCAAACCTGTCTTACAGTGATTTTGTTCCCCTCCAGGAATATAAAAATTAATGCTTTAAAGTTCTATATAGAAAGCTATGATGTAGCATTAGGAGCCATAGGTTCTCAGGTCAGACAGATTTTTATTCAAATACTTCCCCTAGTTATGGTGTAACCTGAGGCAAGTTAGTTCACCTCTGTGAGCCTCAGCTTTCTTGTCTGTAGATTGAGTCAACGCACACATCTTAACGTGTTGTGGTCAATGGAGAATTTAAAGTGTTCACAAAGTAAGCACTCAGTGAATATCAGCTAACATTTGCTGCACTTGGCCATTCTAACTCAGCCTAATCATTATTATGTCCTCTCTCACCTTCATGTTCACAATAATCCCTAACACTCATGTATTCATCACGGCAACACGACATAGCACAACCTGGTGTTCCGGCAACACTCACCCACTTCTGATCGGGCCCAGGCACTGGCTGCCTGCTTCAACCACAGACGAACCTTCCCAGTCTCCCAGTTTGCTGTGGACATTACCATTGTGTTTTGCCTGGAATCCAGCCCATGGGGTGCAGTGATGTCCCCTGCCCGGCCCCAGCCGAACTGGCATTTTCCAGCCCTGTTAACTAAGAGGAAAAGAGGACGTGAAAACCCCTCTATTAGTGGATGGCATCTTTCCCAACAGAATGATTCTGCACTTTTGCAAAGAGCTCTGCCTGAGTGAAGGCTGGAGTGAAGGCATTGGTGTAAATTCACTTTGTCCCGACCCTCTCTGAGGGTTCAGTAGCACAGGTTTCACCTCCAAGCCACAGCTGACTTGCAGAGGCATCTGCTGGGACAATTCACGATGGCAATACGCTCTCCATTGTCTCTTCCTCTGCTGAAGCCTTCCTGACACACAGCACCACCACAACACCTCCCCGAGACCTTCACTGGCTCCCCAGTGCCCGGAGTACAAAGTCTGGGTGGCTCAGCCCGACATTTGGAGCCCTGTCGAGCCCACTCTGCCCACCACAGCTGCATCATCCAGCTTGCTCAGAGCTGCCCCTGCTGCCCATCGTGCCACTGTGTTTTTTTTTTGTTTTTGTTTTTGTTTTTTTGGGATGGAGTTTTGCTCTTGTTACCCAGGCTGGAGTGCAATGGCGCGATCTCGGCTCACCGCAACCTCTGCCTCCTGGGTTCAGGCAATTCTCCTGCCCCAGCCTCCTGAGTAGCTGGGATTACAGGCACGCGTCACCATGCCCAGCTAATTTTTTGTAGTTTTAGTAGAGATGGGGTTTCACCATGTTGACCAGGATGGTCTCGATCTCTTGACCTCGTGATCCACCCGCCTCGGCCTCCCAAAGTGCTGGGATTACAGGCGTGCACCACTGCGCCCGGCGTTTTGTTTAAGTTGTTCTAACATCCATGTACCAAGCGCTGTTCTAGGTGCTGGGACAATGTTCCAGCCCGGGAGACAGACTGGCACTGACCCACCCAGGCTGGAGTGCAGTTGCTCCCACACTCTGACGAGACACTGACTGTTCCCTGAGAGTGAATAGCAGGAAAGATTAGAACAAGAGCCAGATTCTCAGGCTGATTTTTTTGTTGTTCTGAGACAGAGTCTTGCTCTGTCACCCAGGCTGGAGTGCAGCTGCACAGTCTCAGCTCACTGCAACCTCCACCTTCCAGATTCAAACAATTCTCCTGCCTCAGCCTCCAGAGTAGCTAGGATTACAGGCACCCACTAATTTTTGTATTTTTAGTGCAGACAGTGTTTCACCATGTTGGCCAGGCTGGTCTTGAACTCCTGACCTCCTGATCCGCCCACCTTGGCCTCCCAAAGTGCTGGGATTATAGGCGTGAGCCACTGCGCCTGGCCCCTCAGGCTGATTTTTAAAGCTCAGAAGTTGTTTCTGGGGGATGCTCAGAAGTTCTTTGGAATCTGTAAAGCTGGGCATTAGATTACAAAGCATTGCCCTGCAGATCCCATTTCACCCTCAGTGTCACGGGGTCCTACACAGATATTACAGTAGAGAGGTCCAGACACAGAGAGATTATGTCACTCACCCAGAGTCCAACAGCTGCTACATTTGAGGCCCAGAATCCAAGCCAGGGTGAGGCCACACGCCCTACCTACGCCCAGACGCTCCTTGGCCGCCCTGCACCTGAGTAGGTTGCCGGCGAACTCCTGTGCTGCCAGACTGAGGTCCCATTCCCTTCGGGTGGGAGAGAGTAGAACATTACCAGCTTTTAAAATAATTTATGGAGTGCTCAATGCCAAGCTCTGCTCTAAACACTTGGTACGAATTTGCTGGTTAAATCCTTAGATGTGGGCAGCGCCCATCTACAGATAAGGACACCAAGCCTCAGAGAGGCGGAGTAACCACCTGAGGTCACAGAGCTGAATCATCTTTTCTTCTGTCTCCATCATGGAATCCATTCTGTTTGGCTGCCCCTGTGATCATCCTGGAATCAAAAGCTCATTTCTCTGCTTAGAACCTGTCACTGGCTCCCCATGACAACCCCAAAGCTGTGAGCACCTCATCAGGACATGCACCATTCCAGAGCCTCTGAGATCTGCCCACCACTCCCTCCCAAGACCCCTTGGCCTTCTGCACAGACCGTTCCCTCCGCCTGGAATTCCCTTCCCCTCTTGTGCATCTGGTGAACTATCATAGGTCCCTGCTAGGTTCCACGCCTCCTCCGGCCCGTGGCTCAGTCCCTCACCCCTCACCCTCCTCACATCTATTTATTTATTTATTTATTGATACAGAGTCTCGCCGTGTCACCCAGGCTGGAGTACAAATGGCACGATCTCAGCTCACAGCAACCTCTGCCTCCTGGGTTCAAGCAATTCTCCTGTCTCAGCCTCCCTGCAGACATGCACCACCATGCCCAGCTAGTTTTCATATTTTTAGTAGAGACATTCACCATGTTGGTCAGGCTGGTTTCGAACTCTTAACCTCAGGTGATCCACCTGCCTCAGGCTCCCAAAGAGCTGAAATTACAGGCCTGAGCCATCCTGCCCAGCCCCTCTTGGTTTTCTTAACGGCATTTGTATTCATCTGATGCCCCCTCTATTTGTTTGTAGGCCGCTATTATCTGAACCTTAACAGGACTACAAGGGGAGGGTCTTTGTCCTTCTACCCAGGACTGAAACAGGCTCGGGCATATGGAGCCCTATTTACGGTGTGCCCACAGTGGTGATTCTCAAAGCAGAAGCCCTGGACCATCCACACCCTCATCACCAGGGAGCTTGCTGGAGTGCACCTTTCATTCAGGTCCCGCCCCTGCCGGGCAGAGTCAGAAGCTCTGTGGGCAGGGCCTGGCAATCTGCATTTGAGCAGACAGGCTCTCTGGGTGATGCTGACACAGGCTGGAGAATCACTGCCCTACAGAATGCAAGATGGCTTCTCCAGGCCTGAATAAAGCCTTTGGTGACCCCAGGTTTAATTTTTGCTGGCTGGGATCGTCCACCCTTCTGCCTCCCAGCATCGACTCAGTGCAAGAGGTCTCTATGCGGGTCAAGGAGCGGCAGCCTGCCGGGCAGAGTTGTTCCAGGGGTACCCACCTTGGTAGGGCCCTTGATGGGGCAGAAGGCCTTAGAGCACATGAAGAACTGGAAACGGGGGAGTTCACCAGATTCCCTCAGTGGAGACACTGTGTGGGACTGGAAGGAATGATTGGCAAACCCCCTGGAAAATTAATTCTGCAGGTGCAATGCCAAGGAGGGTGATCAGGGGACCAGTTTGTCCAAGAGGGGTTTCCTGAGCTCACACCAGAAAGTCCTGGGCAAACCGGGTCTGTCAGTTACCCTGGTACTGGGGGCTGAGTGGGGTTCTACAGCGGCAGGGTGGATGCTGGCACAGCGGCTCCCACCAGCATTGCCTCCTCTCTCTCCCTCCCCCAGCCCCCAGGCTGCAGCTACATAAATCTTGGACAAATTCATGACTTGATGTCACATCCCAGCCATGCCCTTTATTAGCTGCTCAGGGAGTCTACATGTTTTGGTACAGTCTCGACGTTTTATTTTTTAAAGATCCCCTCTGAAGAGTGTGTCCTGTGTAATTCTTCTAGAACAGGCACAAATCGTCATTAGCGATAGAAGTCAGAAGAGAATTCCCTTCGCTGGGCTGGAATGGAGCAGGGGACCAGGGCCTCCTGGGAGCTGGGACGCTCTCTGTCTTGCTTTGGGTGTTGGTGACCTGGGCTTGCACACGTATCAGAGCTCATCAGGCTGCCCATGGTGTTTGTATCCTTCACGGCTTCTGTGCTAGAGCACAATAAAAAATAAAAACGGAGGTTTTACACCCAGAAACGTACTTTTTCTGACACATAACCTGATGTGTTTCAGAGAATCCGGGAACTGGAGGACAAACTGGAGTTTCAGAAGCGGCACCTGAAAGAGCTGGAGGAAAAGGTGGGTGGCTGGCCTCAGACTGTCCCCAGGTTTCTTTCCATGAAATGTTAGTGCAGAGCCATTTTATTTCATAACCTCCAAAGCATAGACTCTGTCGCCAGCCCTCTTTTCTCTGCCCTTCTCCCCCAAAATCAGCACCTCCAGGAAATCGGTACTTCCTCCAAATTCCTTTCTGGTGAAGACGTTTCCTTCTCAGTGGCTGTCAAAAATTCTGCACTCCAGGGCCAACTCTGTGTGTCTTTTTCACAAAAGACTTCCCTGAATCCCTCCCCTGCTGTCTCAGCGGGAAAGAGGTGGAGCAGGTTAGGCTGATGAGCTCGGTGGCACCCCCTAACCACAGAGGCAGGTTCTCTTCCATGGACTCATTCATTTTTAAATACCTTCTATGTGTCCCAAACTAGTCACATGTTCCTGGAAGATGCAGCCTCTCCCATCCCAGAGGACGTGAGACTGGCCTCTCCCTGGGTTTTTGGGTGTGTTCCACCAGCCCATTTACCATGATGCCCATTTTCTGGGTGAGGCAACTGAGGCAGAGATAGATTAGGACACCTGTACATGGTTCTACAGCAAGGAAGGGAAGGCTGGAGTCTCCATGGACATCATAGCCACCTCCCTGCCCCCCCATATGACATTGGTCCGGTCAGACACGTGAGTCCTGCTCAGGGCACATGCGAAGCAGTTTTATCTTGGCATTGCCCTTCATCTTCTTCCCCTGATGGCTGTGAATCCTTGAGGACAGGGACCACGTGGTACTCATCTCTCCATTCAAGACAGTTTTTGCTGTGGGATAGGGCATCACCAAATGTGTGTGGATGAGTAAGCAAATGATTACAGATGAGTACCGAAAAACGATAATTGCACATTTAATGTCACAGAGGTAAGTTCAAGTGTGGGAACAAGACAGAGGACCACTGAACCCATCCAGGAGGTCTGGGGGCCAGCACATCTGTGCCCAAAGAGGGGTTCCCGTCTGAATCTCACAGGCCAATGCGGGATCAGCCCTGGGGAGAGGAGACAGAAAGGGCATCTCTGGACTTCACGTGCTTGAGACGAGTCTTTTAGAGAGGAGGCTGACTCATTTCAGGACAAATCAGGACAGAAGTCTCTGGTAGGCAGATTCTGGGGTGGTCCAAAAATGGGATGACAGCCTTTCCAGTCTTGGAGGAAATCAAACCATGTGCCCAGAGAGACGGGACAGCTCTTAAGATTCCACCCCCGTTTTAGATGCTTCCTCTCCCTTCTCTCATGAGAGCCAGCCCCATGCAGATGAAATCACCTTCCCATCTCTGCTAGGGGCGTAGGGCTCTCCCGGCTCTTGCAAGAGGACTGGGGATCTGTGCACAGGGGCAGGGGGGGGGGGCAGGGCTCGCCTGCCAGTTCCCTGGTTGCCCTCATGGGAGTGCCAGTTTTAGGTGATTTCTAGAGTCCCCATCTGCCTGATGTCCACTCCCGCCAGCCTCCCAAGGATATTTTGAGAACCCAAGGGGGTCTCAAGAATAATTGAATTTAAGAATTTCTTGAGGGGTGGGCTGGCTTTGCAGACAGATGAGCCTGGGCTCTCCTCTGGCCTTACCCAAGTGGCTCCAGAGAACCTAGGGAATTCACCCCTCTGGCCCGGGGAATTCACTCCTCTGCCCCAGGCCTTGGCATTCTCAGGTGCTGCTAGGAATGGTGCTCTGTCTCTGTGGGTGGGTGTAGGGATGAAATTAGATTGAGGATATGAAAGTCCTCAGCCCAGGGCCCAGGCAAGGTGGGCAGGCTGCCCGCACCGGTCCTTCCCGTCTCCCAGGTAGCTCTACCACTTGGCTTAAAACCTGACCAAGGTCACCCTTGCTGATTAAAATGTTAAAAGTCAGGCAAAATGAGCACACATCTAAAATAACACTCCCTACATCCCCAGCAGTGAACACCTGGGCAATGTTCGAATCGTCTTTCTGGCTCTTTTTTGACTCTTTTCTCAAAGCCAGTGTTTGTGGACTGGTCTGTCTCCTTCTGCCACAGAAGGGAGTTGCAGAGGCTGATATGTGGAACAGGAGGGACTGACCAGGATGGATGCCTGATGAGGCCTGTAGGTCTGCGAACCTCCCAAGATGCCTCACGCCACCTTCATTTCCTTACAGGCATTGAGGCCTGTGGCCGTGGAAACAGTTCCAGCCACCCCTCTCCCTGGCTCATCTGTCCCTTTGTCATGGCCCGAAACTCTTTTCTGCCACAACCCACTGGATGGTCTTGATGAATCCTCTCCTCTCCGCAACCTCAGCTTCCCCATGTGGAAGAGGAAGGGCTGGGTGACTGCCAAGGCCCCTTCTAGTTCTGACTTCCAGTGATCTTACACCTTGTTTAGAAGTTGATGGCTGTTAGTTTGGACTTTTCCAATAAATAACATAGGGAGATACTTCCTTGTTTTGGGGGGAAAACAAACTCAAGGACTGTTTTCAAAAGCCCCAGTTGATGTTCAGATGTGTTTCACCTAATGACTTGCAACTCCTTTTGAACAAAGCAAGTCCTTAACAGGTTAAGAAAAAAAATTCTGCTTTTAAGTTGACCTGTGTAATTTTTCCTTCCATTAAGACCATTTTCCCCTGATTGTTTTTTCTCTATAAGTAGACTAATCAAATGGCAATAAAGATTTTAAATAGTGACTCCCTTGGAAGAAAGAGCCCTGGTAAAGATGATGTAGGGCCAGATGTCCAATCTTTTTACTTCCGTGGGCCACATTGGAAGAAGAATTGTCTTGGGTGGCATGTAAATTACACTAACAATAGCAGGTGAGCTAAAAATATTTGCACAACAAAATTTCATAATGTGTTTTAAGAAAGTTCACAGATTTGTGTTGTGCCACATTCAAAGCCGCCCTGAGCCACATGGGGCCTGCAGGCGGAGGGTCGGACAAGCGTGGTGCAGGGGGAAGGGCGCTACTTGTCTGAAAGTTTGGCCTGGGCCACCTTGAGTGGAATTTGCCCTGATCACGTCCCCGTCTCTTGGTGGGAGCCCCGGACCATAACCATGGGCTAAGCCTTCCCTTATACCGGCCTGCCCAGGCTCTGCAGGAAGGCCACATCACAGCACCACAAAGTCCTGTCCTGGTCCAGAGTGTAAATCTCCCCTGTCTGAGTTAACCACATGTTTGGGGAGTGGGTCAGGATAGCCCACCCTGAGCGTGGAATGCCGCAGGATGCGTTTCCCAGGGGAGATCAGTTCCTAAAGCCCATTTACTTCCTGTTTCTCCTTCCGAACTCAACAACTCAGTGTCATAGTTCTTGCAAAATGCTGCCATTGAGTTCCATACTACATATCTTACATCTGTTTTCTTTTTCTTCTCTTTTCCTCATTTTCTTTTGGTTTATTTTATAGTTTTTGTTCCTTTTTTTGTTTTTCTCACTAGCATTCATTCTGTGGCCTTGATGACTTCAGTGAGCCAAGAACTCGGGTTGGTATCCTTTCCTTTCCGCAGATGAAAATGATGATTTTCTAAAATGGGAAGAGTCCTCCCAGTCCCTGACTGTCATGTTCCTTGAGAGATGAGGCACTGTGGAAGGTGGCCTTGTGGCAGATGCCTCAGCTCATAGGTCGGGGTCACCAGGGGAGACCCACCCCGAGGAGGGGGATCAGGACTGCTCACTGTGAATAAGAAACTCCTCTGTGGAGTTTCATCCACAAAGGGGGACTCTGTTTTATTCTAAAGGTTCTTTCCAGTCTGGCTTCAGTCCCTGGTGCTCTCTGCTGCTGTGCGGACCAGTAGGTCCTCTGTAGGATCCGGTGCTCTCTGTTGCTGTGTGGACCAGTGGGTCCTCTATAGGATCTGGTGCTCTCTGCTGCTGTGTGGACCAGTGGGTCCTCTGTAAGATCCAGGGCCCTTGGCTTCCACAGCTAAGGGCTGCAGGGGCAGAAGGTTGCTGGACAAGTGGCTCATGAGCCCAGACTGTCACTTGCATGCAAAGTGCCCAGGGAGCCTGTGTAAGAACCCACCCAGCTCCCTGCGCCTCTCACCCCTGTCCTGTCCTGGGTTTTAACGCCTGTGCTGAACTCAGGGACCTCCGGAACAAGGCCATCTCAGCATCTGGTCCTCCCCTGACCACTGAGCCCTGTATGTCCCCAGGACTGAGCTCCCACCATAGACACCTGGACCCTTCCACATTCTCCCTGAGAGTGCCCATCTCAGGGCCAGGGGCGCCAGGACCTTTGGACTCCAGAGTTCTGTCCCTGAATCCAGCCCAGGCCAAGGGCCCTCTGGGTTCTGGGGATACCTGCAGCACCCCCTAGCTACCTGGACCCCTTGGGCTCGGCTCTGAGGCCAGGGCCCTGCCTGATGTCCTCATGGGCATCCCTGAGGCTGACCCCAGTCCACAGGGCCTTTTGGTCTGGTACCTTCTGTACCCAAGTGTCTGGGACAGTGCTGGGCACATGGTCAATATTCATTCAATGTTTATGGACTGAGTAAAGAAGGATCTCAGGTCTTAGAGGACAACTGACAGTCAGTCAGATCCCATCTGATCGGAGGTGGGTGTTGGGGATGGGGCATCTGATCCTGCTGCCGCTTCTCCTGGGTCATGGGGGCAGGTCCCTCGGGGCTCAGCTGGGGCGTTCAGGACAGCAGTGAGGGCAGGGGGCAGATAAAGCCAAGGGATCCTCCGGCCATTTTAACCCTCGATTCTTGTGTCGTTTCACATTATGTTTTACTATTACAGGATAGAAAAAGAGTTTATGGAATAAACTGAGTCCCAACGGCAACCCCACCCCCACTCAAACCAAATTCAACAGCGAAACAAGCTATTCAAAGTCCAGAGACTGCAAACAGAATTTATGTATATTTGACAACAGCTTTAAGGGGAAGCCTTTGGACATATGGCTGGGTCCTGGCCAGCCCAAGCCGTAAGAACTCTGCAGGGATTTTGTCACATTCATGTCCCAGCTCTGGCATCTTCAAGAGCCCAAGGGGGCAGAGACCTAAATGCCAGGAAATTAAGTGCAATTACTAGAAACCAAGGGATCGGCAGCCACCACACTGTCTGGGGACTGGCCCGAGTCCTCGTCCCCACGCCAGATGCCTCCCCAGGCCGCGGTGTGCGTGTCCAGCTGGACCTGGGTGGGTGTCGTCTCTGCCCTGTGTACATAAATCTCCACGAACCGTGCTGTGTTCGTCTGGAGTTTGTCTGCTGGAGCGACGTGCAAGTGTCCTTGTAATGTGAACCCCAATTCAAGTCCTGGTCAGCAACACCTTGGAATCTGTGCACGGCTGGATTTAGCAGCTGGCGGTCAGAGAGAGAGAGAGAACAGGACTCTGATGAGGGGCTGGAGCCTTGCCCATCATGGAGAAGCAGATCCCAGGGACCTCAGATTTCCTAGGGGAGGCCAAAGGCTCTGTCACTGTTCTGGGTGTGACATGGCAAAAGTCCTAGAGCATGACTGTTCCTGGGACCAGGTGGATTGAGGACTGATAGTGCAGACATGGCCATCAACCAGGCACACTTGGGCCTGCGTTGCATCTTGGTGGTAATTTGCAAGGGGCTGCCAAGGAAGAGACGCTGGAGCACCTGCAGGGACCAGGTTATTTCCGTAGTGGTGCTGAGACCGGGTCCTGCTCTCACCACTGTGGGGAGGAAGTGAGCTCTTCCTGCCTTGGGAGGCCATCCGTGGATAGAGGCAGGAGAGCTGTCAGGGTGTTGGAGGCCTCCCTGCACAGTGGATGGAGGAGGGCAGCCACAGAGAGCCAGACGCCAGCTGGGGATGGTCAGCCCAGGAGGAAATTCACAAAGTTCCTTTCCGATGATGTTCCTGTTGTTATTTGAGGCTAGGTGGGGTGGGGGCATCTCCAGAAGAAGCCACCTGCTCACAGGATGCCTTTCCCAAACTTCTGCACAAGAAGACATTTGGAATTAGAATAGACAGAGTGAAGTAGAGGACTGAATGTGACGAGGAGGCTGGCGGTGTCTGCGTGGGAAGAGCCGGATAAGGCCAGGCTGGGCCGTCCTCAGCTGGCTGTAGGTGGACAGGCTCAGGCCCTGCTCGTTGGGTGGAAGAAGCGGTTCTGTGATCTCCAGTGAGATGGACCTTTGGACAAAAGGGAAATGACTGAATTTTAGGCAGTTGAGGGAACTTGTGGGGTGAGGGAGACAGAGGAGCCGGAAGTTCTCAGAAGGCCAGATCCACAGATGGAGGACACAGTGCCCCGGTCAGAATGGGCCCTGCCAGCTGGGGAGAGCTGTTCACACCACATCCTGGGATCCCAACCCTCCCCACACCACATCCCAGGATCCGGCCAGCGGGGAGGGCTGCTCACACCACCTCCCACGATCTGGGCTCTAAGCGAACATGCACCAGGACGGCCCAGCATCGTCCATTCTCTTTTGAAATCAAAACCCCAAAGCACCTGCTAGCTCAGCCTCCATGACTTACCAACACTTGGTGATGAAATATGAACAAACTGATGTCGTTAGTTGAAGGCACAGGCATCCTAGCAGCCCAGGCGGCAATGGGAGTGTGGGATCACACAGTGAGTGACAACAAAGGCACGCCTACCCTTTCCGGCTGGAAAGCACTGGAGGCATTGCTGTGTTAACTTCCGCGGGCAGAAGTCTGGGGGTGCCTAGGGGTCTCTGGAATGTCGGTCCAGCACCCCTGCAGCCACTGCAGGAGTGCGGTCCTCACGCCTGCCTGTCCTCGTCCTTCAGCGGGTTAAGGGCAATGTCTGCGTCTGCTGGGCTCCCCCATCAGATCATGAGACAGAAATGGCCTTGGCTTTGAAGTCAGACCCATTTGGCCCTGCCAGCCTGGCCTCTTCCTGCTACAGACACTGGCACTGTCCTTGTCGCTCTGAGGAATGGTAGCGATAATTCCCCTGCGAGGCCTTGGGAGGGGTCTGAGCTGGACGGTTAGCCCCGCAGGCTCCCGCAGGCCACCGTGGCTGCTGGTGGGAGACACAGCCTCTGCTGTTCTCGCTTTGGGAGTTGTCCTCAGAGGAATCCATACAGCCAGCCAGGGGCCAGGACCCGTTCTCTTTGGCGCCCTGGGAGGCGGCGCAGGAGGAGGCATGAGGCTCACACGGGCAGGTACGGGGGTTTCCCTGCATAGACATCAGAGTCCCTGTTAGGAACCAGCGTCTCTTGTCACAGTCCCAACCATAGCTTCTGGCTCCCTGCTAGGCACAGTCCTGGTTGCAAGGACTTCAGTATGCAGGGAGCCTGAGAGCTGTGCCGTGCCCCGGTGCACTCACCCCTCACCCACAGCCCTGTGCCCCGGTCAGGTACCTCCGCCAGGGGTTTGGATGCTCTTGCCTGGTAACGCGTATGTGGTTTCCAGGGCAACAGAGTTACAAAGTCTGGGCAAGCCAAGGTGACTTCCTCATTTTAGCGCAGGTCAGTTGGGAGGTTCATCGGAGAGCCAGCCCTGAAGGTTCCTGGCACAGAGATGCTTATGGTGCAAACACAGGTTTCTGCTTCTCGCCCCCACTCCTCAGTCCTCTGTAGGCGAAAGTGACCAGGGAGGAGCTGGGGCATGGGATCGGACTGCGTTCTGGCACTGCTACCCTGGCAGCCTCCTGGGGGCTGAGCAGCCGAGGTCAGGACTGGGGCCCGGAGACCAGCTGTGCAGGGACAAGCCAGGCTGATTTGTCCAGGACTGAGGGAGGTTCCTGGAACATAGACCTTCCAGTTTGAAAATGGAGGAGACTCTGGGCAAACGGGGAGGTCGCTCTCCTGTGGCTGCAAGGCTTTTCTCACCAAATCCCGCGTCCCTTCCGGGCCTCCGGCTGACCGTGCAGTGCTCATGCTGAGCACCTTAGGTGAAACAGGCTGCATGCTTCATGCAGATGTCTTCAGAGTCAGCTCAAGGGTGTGCAATCCTACCCAGCCTGCCCCCAGCGCGGTGCTGGGCCCTCGGGGGTGCAGGGAAATACAAACGTGGGCGGATGGGCCCCTCCCCTGGTCCGGGGCAAGGCTCGCCCTGGCTAGTTGCATGCCTCGCTTCAGCTCCGGCTTCCCTGTCCTTCTCAAGTGAATTCGACATCTGCCCCCATCTGCTGCTCCTCTATCTGCCGGGAGCATTCAGGATTGTGGCCCCTGCTTCTCCCCGGCCTGCCATAACCCTCTGTAACCAGTAGCAATCCTGCCTGAGACCCCCAGGACAAACAATGGCGAGTCTGATGTTTCGTTGTTTTCTCGCATTTAAGCAGAGTTTGCCAGGGGTCTCCCAAATTGGATGGGAAATCCCAAACGTGCTATTGTGGAGTCCTCTTCCCTCCCCCACAACCCAGGTTGTCTGAACCCTTGGGGCCTTCTATAGGCCCCTTCCCTATGCATCAGATTCAAGCTCCATAGTAGGGTGGAACCCAAATCTTCACACGACCCTCCTTCCTTCCTTCCCAGCCTGCCCCCACCTCTCAGGGGCTGCTGTTCCAGCAGAAACGGGGCCTCTTGTTGTCTTCCACGGCCTGTGTCCTCCCTGTTACCACCCTCAGCCTCAGGGAACCTCCCCAAGGATCCCGAGGGGGCAGAACCCCATCCTTACATCTGCACCACATCGATCTGTCCCCTTCCCCTGCCCAGGTCCTGCCACCTCTAAGAGGCCGGCAGGCTCAGATCTCCACCCCAGGCTACCACGGAGGTTGATAACCCATGGCAGGCCACGTTTTTCTCCGTTCAACCTTCTTCTTCCCCCGAGAACCCTCATCACTTATCTAAAAAGCCTGAAAACACTTCCTGGGAGAGGCCCTGCCTGCTTCCCTGTCCCTAGGCAAGAAGGAAGGACATGTCCTCCCTTAGGGCTGCTCACAGGGAAGGGCTGGAACACCTCCTCCTCCTTGGTAGGTCTGGGGTAAGTTTTCAGTTTCTCATTGCTTCCTTCAGCTGTCACTCAGTCCTCCTGCTCTGCACTGGCTCCTGTTGGCTGATGTTCCGGGGGGCTCACGGTGTGGTGCAGGAGCAGGACGGGCCACCACCCCCATTCCCCCAGTGTGCAGAGCTCACTGAGTCATCGCCACTGCTGGAGAGTGAGACTGCTGTAAGTTTCATTTTGCTAGGGGCCGAGTCACTTGCCTAGGATCGTGTGGCAAGTAGAAAGCTGGACACGGCTGGACAGTGCTATGTCTGCCCCCCACCCAGCAGACAGCATGCTGCATTTAGTGTGTGCCAGGTGCTCTGCTGAGGGCTTTGCAGGGATTAACTCATTTATTCCTCAATAGCTCTTCACTTAGGCATGATTTTTACCCTCCCTTTTCTTTGAGAAGTTAAGTAATTTGTCCAAAATCATACCTGAGAAGGGATGGAGACAAGCCTGGAATCCAGGCAGCCTGGTCCCAGCGCCTGGGATTTGAGCGGATCCACCACACTTCCGCCCCTGCCTCTGACCATCCCAGGTCTACAGGAAATCTTGTGGCCACCCAGACATTAGCCACTGTTGGGAAAATATGATTAAAGACAAAAGCTTCTCCCAGGGCAGAAAACCTCGTCACAAAAAAAGAAAGAAAACCAAGACATGACATGCATCACAGGCAACCCACTGAGAGATTGCAAAGACAGAAAGAAGTCTTACCCTTTTATATGGCTAGGCAGGCACAACCCACACGCACAGCCGTCACACTCATCCCCACTGAAAAGGACTCCATGGCATCGTTTCACGTGGTTCATCCTAAACTCACCTGGTAACTAGGACAACGCTCTGTGTTCACTAATTTGTTATACAAAGGGAAAAAAAAAAAAAAAATCAAAAAAAAAAAAAAAAAAAAAAAAAAAAAAAAAAAAAAAAAAAAAAAAAAAAAACCTTCCCCTGCACCTGGGTTCCACCCTTCTTCTACTTCCTAAGACAGGTTTTACATTTTGGAGCTGGGCACCTGCCCAATTAAGCGTCTTCCTTCCAGTGAACACTAGGGGCGCTGTTGTCCCTGGAATTTACATCCCGAAGAGTGGGTTCCAGGTCCTTCGGGAAAACATTCCTGGGCCATAAAGCTGGCAAAAGGCTTATTTCACTTTAAAAAGGATTTACACATATTTCAAAAAGGCAAAGAAAGAACTTACAAATTTTCTAAAGTAAATGCTCTAAGGAAAGGGAGGGGGCGTCTCTTATTTTTAACAGGGAGACAGAAGCCTCTTATTTTCTATTTGTCTTGGTCCTGACCCTCTGCACTAGCCTGGCCTGTGTTGCCGCCTCCTCCCACAGGTCCAGCTGCCTCCATCTCCCTCCTGCAAAATCCAGAGTGCTCCATCCTCAGAATGACATTTGACCAGGCACCTCCCTACTCCCGGGGCCCACAGAAACACAAGAGTCCTTGTGTGCCTGCGACAAAATGGCACCAAGCCTCCTCTGTCCTCACCCCTCACGTCCTCCTTCTGTGTACCCACTGGGTCAGCCCAGCCTGGTGCTCTCGTTCCCTTCACCTGTCCTGCTTCCCTGTGTGGGGCTGTGGCTTGAGGATGCTCTCCGCCTGGGGGAGTCTCCTCCCCACCTCTCCCTGCTCCAGTTTCCCATTCCTCCTATGATCTCTTCAGCCTCGAGCTCCCTCTCCCTCCTCAGGGTGCTCAGAGGTCGAATTTGCTCCTGTTTTGGGGTCTTGTTGCTCACCTATTACTGTATCTCTTGTGTCAGAACACACACTCTCCAGTTTTGGAGTCAGATCCATACTCGAATGCTGACTCTGCTACTTCCCATCCCATCTGTGGGGCCCAGATAAGCTCCTGCACCTTCCAGAGCCTCCATATGACCATTTGTAGAATGGTCATGTTAACACCCACCTCACAGGGTCACGGGGAAAACTGGTCTAGGTAAGGCATGAGAGGCCCTCCACAACCCAGGTGCACACAGCACCCAGGGAAGTATGAATGTCCCATCCTGTTCCTCTAGCAAACTCTAGGTCCTTGAAAAATATATGCTATGCTCAAGGAGAAGGTGTGGAATCTTATTCATCATGTGGCTAAAACTTGAGCTTCATTTACTGCTGGGAGTCTGTACCATCTGATGGTCTGACCTGGAGGTCTTATTTTTCCTCTCTGTGCCTGTCACTAGGCATTTCATCTCAAGTGATTTTTCTGCAACGTTTTCTCGCTTTTTGTGAGTTCTGGCATGCTGACTTGTAAAATGAGAGACTTTCATGCATATTGTATGATGCTTGTGCAGATGAAACCCAAGTCACCCACTCATGAATAATCCAACTGTTCTTACCCTTCTCAAAGGATATTTTCCTGAACAATCCGAAGTCACAACCACCACCTTGAAATCTCCAGGAAGTCAATGTTGCAAACTCACTTAATTTTATTATTAAGACTTGCCCCATGAAATGTTTGCGAGATGGAGCCAGCAGCTAAGAGACGGACTGAGAAAAGTTTTAGCTATGTCATCAGAGCCCCCAGCAGCGAGGGGTTCGACGTAATGAACGTTGATGTGAAGATTGACACATCCTGGGTATTCCCGGACATGGAAGATAGTGCTGAGGAGCAGGAATGTCTTCCGGAAGAAGCATCTGCTCGCCCAGATGGGGATACGGGGGCGATCAGGAGGCAGCTAGAGTCCTCCGAGCAGAAGCTGTTAGCAGCGGTGAACAAGTATGTGACGTCGGAGTCCGGGCTGAGAAGCAGGTAGCAGTGCCATTTTGATCTCTCTGTGTGTATTTCACAAACCCCGGGGCTATCAGAGTGTGTCACCGTGGTGTGTTGAATCACACTACACAGCTGGGGAAACCAGCTCACCAAAGGCACATAACCTGCCTGCACAGTCACTTGCCCTCTGCCCTGCCCGCCCTCCTTCCTCTGCTCTGTACCTGCAGGTGAGGCTGCCTAGGCTTCTCTCCTCAATGGCTTCCATTTGGGTGCAGCCAACAGGAGGCCCTGAAACAGAGGGAGGCAGGGAGAAGCCAGGGTCTTTTCTCTCTCTTCTGCTCTGGGTGACTGTTCTGTGAAAGGGCTGTGTATACAAAGTGACCCAGAGCACAGAAAGGAACCCAGAAATCAAAGGAAGAGGCAGACAAATCTAGTTTGTCGGTTTGGGTGATTTTTTAAGGGGAACTTGCAGATGGAAGCATGGTCATAGGCAGTTCCCACGCAGGTAACCTTCCTTCCCCAACCCAGGGCTTATATCCTGGGGAAAAGCATATGTGCTCTGGAAGGCATGCATAGGTGGCCATGGGTGTCACAGCCTATGGTTTCTGCAATGACAGGGGTTGTTTTGGAGGAAACTCACAACGAATAGGTGTTTGTACATAATGAGATACATCGACTCCGCATCTTGGAGGCATTTGTGGACTCAGGGTTAGTCAGGAGTCACGTGCTGGACTCACATTTAAAATAAAGTCAGTCTTGTCCCCACAGTGACATCTCCCACTGTGGCTATAACTTATAAGTACTCTCGGCTTCCTCTGTGGTCCCAGGTCCCACTGGGTGTCCTGGCTGCATCATCTCTTCCCTGTGTGGCTGTCCAGCCCCAGGGGCAGAAGTGGCTTCTGGCAGTTGCTAAATCAGGCTGCCTGTTATCTCTGTCTGGCCTTTGGACTCTGCTATCATCTTCGGAATAGGCTCTCTGCATTCGTTTCTCTCTATAGAACTTCCTGGTGTGGGCTCTGTTTGCCTGATGGAGCTGGCATGATCCCAAGGTGGGGCATTTGAATCCAGGTCTTTCTCTAAAGCCCAGCCTCTTTCCTGATGATGTCTTCACGCCCAGGCTGGCAGAACGAGGTGGGGCCTTGCATATAGATCAGGAAAGCCAGCAAGAGAAAGCTTGCATATACATCAGGAAACCCATGCAGTGATGGCTGGGATGGATTCTGACAGGTAACTCATATCCCAGCAGCAAGTGCCTTGGGCTTTTGTGGGACTTGCTCATTTTCTTCACTTGCCTTTGCTTCAGTGAAGGCAGGCCATTGAATGTGCATGAACATGCGGTTTAGTTTTCTTCCTTTTGGTAAAATTTTATGCATGAAGAAATTAACAAATCAGAAAAATTATTCTGTTACTCTATGTGATTGCCCATTCTTTCATTCATTCTGCAATGCACTTAACCTTCAAGAGTCACATAATAAGTTACGTTAGTTTGCCTGGGTTGCCATGACGACGTACAGTTAAGTCCTCACTGAATGTTGTCCATAGGTTCTTGGAAACTGTGACTAAGTGAAGCAACATACAACGAAACCAATTTGTTTTTTGTTTTGCTGTGTTTTGAGATGGAGTCTTACTCTGTCACTCAGGCTGGAGTGCAGTGGCACAATCTCAGCTCACTGCAACCTCTGCCTTCCGGGTTTAAGCGATTCTCCTGCCTCAGCCTCCCAAGTAGCTGGGACTACAGGTGCTCATCACCATGCCCAGCTAATTTTTGTATTTTTAGTAGAGACACGGTTTCACCATATTGGCCAGACTGGTCTCGAACTCCTGACCTCAAGCGATCTGCCCACCTCAGTCTCCCAAAGTGTTGGGATTACAGCCATGAGCCACCGTGGCTGTCCACAAAACTAATCTGATCACAGGCTAATTGACACAAACAAGGCTTAAGTTCCTCTCCTTGTTCAGGTCACCAAAACATCACCAAACTTTGAAATAAAGACCCCAAACACTTCTAATGTTAAACACTGAAATAAATGTGAAAGACTCAAACAAATTTAAATTTAAGACAGACAAAANAAAAAAAAAAAAAAAAAAAAAAAAAACACAAGTAAGATGATTGTTTGCCCAATTGATCCAGGTCAGCGTCCCAGGTGGTGGCTAGGGCCTCTCCCGGCAGCTCAGGGTGCAAAGCCTGGACAGGACATTCACACACACACGCACACTCACACAGGCTGGGACTATGTCGACATGCCAGTTCACCTAACGTGCTCCGCTGTGGGATGTGGGTGGAAACCAGAGTACCCTGAGAAAGCCCATGCAGACACGGGGAGAAGGGGCGAACTCCACAGACACTGTGGCCCTGGCCGGGAATCTTTTCTTTTTTTCCTCATTAATGTCATAATGAAATGATATTATTTGCAAACTTGGGTGACTTAACAAAAATTTATTTTCTCACTTTCTGGAGCCCAGAAGCCCAAGATGGAGGGTCGGCAGGGTCAGCTTCTCCCGAGGCCTCTCTCCTTGGCTTGTGGAGTCCATCTCTGCCCTGTGTCCTCGCCTGGTCGCCCCTCTGTGTGTCCCTGCGTCTTCATCTCTTATGAGGACCCCAGTCAGATTGGATCAGGGCCCACGCTCAGGACTTTCTTTCAACTTAATTGACTCTTTAAAAGAGCTTATCTCCAAATATAATCACATTCTAAGGAACCTGGGGGTGAGGCCTTCAACACATGAACTTTGGGGGGGCACATTGAACCCATAACAGAAATCCTGGGTGCTGAGAGCTGGGGAAGGCAGGGCCCCCACCTGAAAGACTAGCAGCATAGCCCATACAGGATGGTACATTCAACTGTTCTAGAAAGGTTGGTGGTAGAAACAGAAGATCAGTGGACCCCAGGAAGACAGGCAGGGAAGCCTGGCCAAAGGAGACCCCTCCATGGGAGGGGGAGACAGAGAGCCCCGGAGGGACACCATGAGCGGTGGGGAGGAAGGGCCTCTGTGGCCGGGCCTATGGGGGAATGTGGGCTCAGTCCTCTGTTCTCTTTAAAGATGGGGTATACCGCCTTGCAGGCGAGGGGCGGGGGAGGAGAAAAGGGAGCTAGCCCAGGGATGGGCCCTCCCATAGCAGCCCCATCTTGACCATCTTGGATCCTGTGATGCAGAGAGTGACATCATCGCCCCGGACAGATGAGGAAACTAAGGCTGGGGTGATGAAATGCTACGTGATCCAGGGCTGCTGAAGGCACAGTTCTGAGTGCAGATTTCAGGCAGATGACACAGTGTTTGGTCTAGCTGGGGCGGGGTGAAAGCCTGGTAGAATGTCTTGGATTCACTTTCGTTAAAGAGTTGAAGCACAAAAGTATTCCTTCTCAGAATAATGTAACAGCCTTGTTAGAAATTTGAGGAAGGAAATCCCACCCCCATCCTCATAGCACTATCAGTTTGCGTATTTGTTTGCCACCTAAATGCAGTCAAATTAATAACAGCTAAGCACTCACTGAGTACTTGTGTGGCACCAAGCCACTGTGCACAGGCTTGACAAGTATTAACATAACTAATCCTTAGACAGTGCGAAAAACACAGTGAGAGCGTCATCCTCACTGAATAGATGGGGAAAGGAAGACACTGGGTGATTGCAACTTACCCAAGGCCCCACCCTAGCTGTGTGAACCCCGGCAGCCTGGCCCAGAAGATGTCTCTGCAGCCACGTGGGCCCGTGTGTCCCTCTGCCATGACGGAGCCAACTATTTTCCTAGCACTCTGTACAGCACTGCATTTTCATATTTAACACACTCGTCATTGGTTTAATCAGGGAACAGGTACTTCACTGTGTCATATTTGTGAGTGCTGTAACCACCACCACAAGCTTGGCAACCAGAAGTCGGAATCAGTCTTCCTGGGCTAGTCAAGCTGTCGGTGGAGCCAAGCCCTCTCTGAGGCTGGAGGAGAAATCCATTGCTTTGTCTTCGCCAGTCTAGAGCTGCATTCAGAGCTCCGGGCCCTGCCTCCGTCTTTGGAGCCAGCTGTGTGCCGTCCTGTGTCAGGGCCCACACGGCCGTCCCGAGACTCAGCCCTCTCTGTCGCGCTCTCTCAAGGACACTTGTGATGGCTCTTAGAGACCAACCAGATAATCCAGGTCCAAATCCACATCTCACCATCCTTCCCCTCATCACGTCTGCAGTCTCTCTTGCATTTTAAGGTGACAGCCATAGGTTCCAGGGATTAGGGCCTACATAAACTTGGGGTCATAATTTGCCCTGCCAAAGTGAAATTTGTCATTTTCTGCTTAGTTTAAGATTAGGAATGGTATGAGAATTAAATATTGTTAGCATGTTTATTGTTATAGGCCAATCTATAAACTAGAAAAAAAGGCTTTTGGTTTTTTTGGCCAGTCTCCCCATATCATACAACTCATCAGAAAGTGCTCAGCCTGACTCTGGCTAATTGGAGCTGCTACTGTGGTCCAGATTGGAAGGACCTTGATTATGATCCACACTCTTTTTTTTTTTTGAGATGGAATCTCGCTCTGTCACCCAGGCTGGAATGCAGTGGCGCGATCTTAGCTCATTGCACCTCCATGTCCGCCTCCTGGGTTCAGGTGATTCTCCTGCCTCAGCCTCCTAAGTAGCTGGGATTACAAGCATGCACCACCACGCCCAGCTAATCTTCGTATTTTTAGTAGAGACAGGGTTTCATCATGTTGATCAGGCTTGTCTCAAACTCCTGACCTCGTGATCCACCCACCTCAGCCTCCCAAAGGGCTGGGATCACAGGCGTGAGCCTCCGCACCTGGCTGAGAGCACACTCTTGTCTGCCACCCTTGAGACCTTTCCTCAGGGCATGAGAACTGGAATAGGAGAGGGGACTCTTGGCCTTATTAGTAATAATAATGTATCACGTGATTTAATCTTCATGACAGCCTGCTGAACAAGGTTAATGACCTCGATTTTGTAGATAAAGATACTGAGGGTCATCGTGCTGGACTAGCCCTGTTAAGACCCTTATGGCTGGTGAATGACAGAGCCAGCAGCAAAGCTAGGTCTTCACCCAGGGCAGCAGTATCTGTCCTGGATGTGCAGGTGCCCAGCGTGGACTTGGGGAAGGAGTGAGGATGTGCAGAACTTAGGCATGGAGGCTGTGAATGCACTTTCGTGTGTATCATGGTTTCTATTACACAGGCAAGATTGGCACATTAAGGGGTTTTGGAAACTAGGCACCATGGCAGACAGGCCCGTCTTTGCAGTGCCTCCCCCCACCACCCACCATGGGTCCAGGAGCCCAGGCTTTCTGTTTGGACGTTTCCCCTTGATCCTGTGCGTGTCTCTTTCTCACATGCTGCAATCAGGGTTTACATCCATCTGGGTTCATGTCTGCCTGTGACATAGCCCCAGTGTGTCTGCAAGACCATACAAAGCCTCCCTGTGACTTAGCCATTCCTAATAGACAGTTAAGCCACTTCTGGCATCTCACCTGGGAGAATAAGTAATGCGGAGATTAATTTTTTTTCAGTTGCAGAAACCTTTTTCTGAATTTCTATCATTGCCTTAGATTTATAAGAATGTAGCTAAAATGGGAGACAGCAGAGCAGAAGGTGACAAGGCTGAGTCCAGAAGTGAGACTGACTCGATTCTATAATGCTGTGTGACTTTGGGCAAATGTCTGCCCCCTCTGATCCTGTTTCTTCATGTGTGAAGTTGGGGTAGCAGAACCCACCTGCAGGCTGGTAATGTGAGGATTCATTGAAACCACTGAGTTAAAGCTCTTAGCCTAAATGGCTCAGGCTCGGGCACTCTAATTTGGCATTACTTGAATTTGCAATTACTGGCTTCGTGTGAAGACACTGAAGATTTCTGATGCATGGTACCTAATTGTTCAAATGATGTCTTTGAAGCATTGTGGATAATCTTTAGAACTATGTGCATGAATATTATATAAAATGTAATCTTGTCAGAACATCGAATTGGCCAAATGACAAAAAAAAAAAAAAAAAAAAAAAAAAAAAAAAAAAAAAAAAAAAAAAAAAAAAAAAAAAAAAAAAAATAGTAATTTGGCCCTGGTATCTGCAAAAGTCTTAGGCCATGCTGCCTGGTGCGGTGGCTCACACCTGTAATCCCAGCACTTTGGGAGGCCGAGGTGGATGGATCTCCTGAGGTCAGGAGTTCAAGGCCAGCCTGTCCAACATGGTGAAACCCTATCTCTACTAAAAATACAAGAACTACCCAGGTGTGGTGGTGCATGCCTATAATCCCAGCTACTCAGGAGGCTGAGTCAAGAGAATCACTTGAACCTGGGAGGCGGAGGTAGCAGTGAGCCGAGATTGCACCACTACACTCCAGCCTGGGCAACAAGAGCAAAACTCTGTCTCAAAAAANAAAAAAAAAAAAAAAAAAAAAAAAAAGGCTTAGGCCATGTTGACTACAATCTGAGCAAGGGCCTTTCTGCTTTCCATGCTGCAGAATTCGGGAGCTGGAGCTGTCAGAGAGGAAACTCCTCCAGAAGGTGGACCAGCTGAGTGCCCACGTGGCCCAGGAGAGAAGCGCCTGGCTCGAGGCCCAGGAGAAGCTGGCGGCGCTGCAGGGGGAGCTGGCCGGCCGGGTACTGTTCCTTTCTCCTTTCCAGTCCCTTTTTCCTGTCCATCAGGGCTGTGGGAACTCAGTAGCCGTGCAGTTGGGCGAAGACAGTATAGGGCGGGCCTGGAAGAGCCCAGGCAGGAGGGTTAGAGAGATCCTAAGTTCACGATGCATGCAGCGACTGCGGGGCCTGGGGTTTGCAGGGATGCGAGGGTGGGGGCTGTGACTGTGGAGGCTGCACACTTGCTGGAAACTCTTATGCCTGAGTATCCCAGCGCCAGACCACAGCCTGAGGACAGGAGTTGGCTGATGCAGGACTCCTGGCATCTGGAGCTCTTATGCAGATGGGGGAGGCTGATCAGAAACAAATAACTCTAAACCTGGACGTGGGGTGCCGTGGGGGAGTGTGGGATCCCCCATGGCGTGTGTTCAAGGGGCTGGGGGATTTGAGGAGAGCTACAGCGAGCTGGAGCCATGTGAGCTGGGCCTTGCTGGGAAGGGCATGTGAGGCGTGGGTGACAGCATGGGCCGTAGCACAGAGGTGTGGGAGGACACAGAGGGTGTCACCGTGCAAGGGACAGAGTGGGTGAGTGGGAAAGTTCCAGAGGGGCCAGGTGGCCAACTCCACTGCATGGCCCAATTGTGAAGACACTGGGGAACAAGCTTTAGGGGACTTAAATTGGGAAGCCTCAGGGTCAGACGGTCATTTGGGGGATGCCACTCTCCCTGCATGGGAGAGAGAGATGGCAGAGGCAGGGGGAGACGTTCAAAAGCTTACTGGAGAAACAGCGGGCAGTTAAGGGCGGGGGCTCTGGAGGCAGAAGCCTGGAGCCAAACCCTGGCTCTGCTACTCACTAGCTGTGTGACCTTGGGCAAGTGACTTAAACTCTCTGGGCCTCAGTTTCCTCATCTGTGAAGTGGGAATGATATCATGTGGGCTGAGTTGATACATGTAAAACACTCACAACAGTAGGTATTTAAATGACACTATCTGCTTTTATAATTATTAACCATTACTGAAATTTTCCAGGGGGAGGATGATGGGGGCTGGAGAGCAAGCCGCTTTTAGGAAAGGCTGCAGAGGCAAAACCCACAAAACTCCAAGGTAGCTGCATGCGGTACCCAGCGGTCCCTGGAGGCAGCCTGTTTTAGTTTGCTGCTACTTAAAATGCAGCCAGAGATTTTCAAACTGCAGGTTGCAACCCACCTACGGGATGTGAGATTGATTCAGAGTCTCACAACCGGCACTTAAAAATCAAAACAGACTAAGAAATATAAAAGCACAGTGCCTGTGCTAGAGGGAGTGCTGTTTTGAGAAACTTGTTTCAACTGTACACAGGTGTGTGTATAGCGGGCGTGACGTTCAGGGCTGTTTCATGCGTGTTTCTTATAGTGGGAAACTGTCAACAAAGCTGGGAAAGCACTTGACACACATCTTGGGTGAAATAGAAGTGACGTGGAATGATAAGGATTCCAATTAAATTGAAAATAGTCCCTGAATTGCTAGGGAGATGTCGGAGTGGAATTTTTCCCCCTCGATACTGAACTTCAGGTGCAGAGAATCAAGTTACTTCTCCTCCTTGGCTCATAGCACTCATAATTACCATCCTGAGGGGCGTTTTTAACTTCAGTATAGTGGCATTGTGCGGGACTCCACCGCCACTGATGTGATGCCTCTGTGGAAAATACTGTCATAGATGCTTTTGGAGCCATGCCTGTGTGCATGTAGGATTTCCGAGGTGAATGTGACCCAGCCCTGTCATGATGTTCACAGTGTGACGGGGGGTAAAGGATGAGGGTGACAGCAAGGGGCATGCTGTCAGGGAGTGAAAGCTACTGCAGGGACCAGCAGTTTCTGCAGGGTGACACTAAGCCCTTTTCCAACAGGTCCTCTTGTTAAATGTCTCATGTGCTGTGTGTGCACCTGGGAAAGACCCGTTGCATAACCCCATTTCCAGATGGGCAGCAGATGTTCACAGTGATAGGGTCTCTCGGTTGCCACTTGGCCCGGCCACCACCCTGCCCCCAACCCTCTAGCCCTAAATCTCTCACTGCAAACATCCGTATTTTGAAGTGACTTTTGCAGGAGTGCATGAGGGAGTTTTCCATGCCCTTCGCACCTGTATGTACCAAATGGCAGCTTTGCTTTGTTGCTATCAATGTTTCCAGTAAGCGTTTGCACATGAAGATGCCTTGTTTCTGTAGTGACCTGCCGTCATTCTAAAAGCTGCCAAAGGCAGACTTTCCAGGCTCTGAAAGTCCTCCACCAGGCACCGTGCAAAGCTCATCACAGAATTCATGCCTTCAGGAAGACCAGGAGAATTCTCCTCCCAGGGAATCTGACCCCAGCTTTTATCTGCCCCACATTCCCCAGAACTATCAAACGAAGCCTGTCTGAGCTTTTCCCAGGTTTCCTCTTTCATGTCTGCTCTTAGCTTGTTTTTGTTTTCTGGAAGCTCCCTGGCAAAAGAGCAGCAGCAAGTGCTGGCAGTTGAAAGAAAGATTAATGTAGGGGCAGTTCTATCTGTTTGCTTGAATTAATTCTGAAAAGTAGCCAACGGCTCTAATTTTCGTAGTGAATGTTGCATCCCAGTCCAGCTCACAGCCCATGAGTGGGAGGAGGCAGATGTGTTCTCTGGCCAGGCGGGTGGCCAGATGAAAAAGAAAAGGGCTGAGTCAGATACAAGGTGTTCAGCATCTTGGCCACAGTGAATTTTAGCTGCGTGATATGCAAGCCACTTCTGAGTGTCCCGCAGGCTAGTAATGCTGCTCCCTCCAGGTGGAGTGTCCACAGTCATGACAGCTGCTGTGACACTGGTGTTGTGACCCTGGCTGGGCTAGGGATTGACCCTGTAGGTGTGAAATGAGGATCTCTGGGCAGTGCTGGGGTGGAAGTGGGACACTTGGGAGCAGCTGTGTGCACGCAGGTGCGGACATATTGAGTATCTGGACATCTCCAGTGGTCCTCAGGTGTGTGCTCGCTGATGGCCATCCTGCCGCCTGCACAGCTCCCTTCCAGAACTCAGGGAGCTCTTGAGGGTGCAGGGCCCAGACTGGGATAGATGAGGTGACAGAGACACTTAGCTCCCGTGCGAAATTTAAGAGGCTGCCAAAACAGAGATAATACTTTGATGCACTATTTTAATGCACAAAATGCAAAAACGCACCAGGCACGAAATACGGAAATGTTAAGTCAAGACAGGATCAGTGTGAGCCGCGGTGTGTCCTTCGAGCTTGCTGACACCCTCATCCACCGCCAACTTGTAGGTCCGGGAGAAAGAGAGCTTGGCCAGGCGGCAGCGGTGCCGGCTGCGGCGGTTGCGGGAGCGGCTGCGGCGCAAGGACGAGGCACTGGGGCAGCAGGTGGCGGCCCTGGAGCGCTGCCGGCGGACCGAGCGGCGCCAGCTGGTCCTGGTGCGCGAGCAGGAGCGCGTTCTGCGGGCGCAGGTGCAGAGGCTGGAGCACGACGTGCGGCGCCTCTGCCGCGCCGCGGGCCTCCTGTTGGCCCAGTGGGACACAGCGGCCCCGGGCCCCCAGGGCGCCCTGGAGGCGGCTGCGGAGCTGCGCGCCCTGCAGGCGAGGGCCGAGCGCAGCGAGCGCGAGCGGGAGGAGGCGGCGCGCAGGCTGCGGGAGCAGCGAGCCACCGAGCGCCGGCTCCGCGGGCAGCTGGAGGAGCTGCGCTGCTGCATCTACGGACTGAAGCTGTCGGAGATTGACCTGCAGGGCCAGGTGGAGGACCTCGCCCAGCAGAACCAGTGCCTGCGAGAGGAGCTGGGAGCCCAGGTCCCTGCTGGTCACTGCAGCCTGGTAAGTGGCCGGAACCCAGGGCAGGAGTGATCTTTTGCTTTTCTTGTTCTCCTCCAGCCACTTGGTCAAGTCATGCACCCATCCAACCCTGCCAGCCCTGTCCTTCGTCCTTCACTGCATCCACCTGCCTCCCCACCCACCCTCCCATCTAAACTCACACACTCATTCACTGCACCTCGCTACCCATTCACCAACCATGTCCACCCAGCTGTCCATCCTCTGATGCACCCACTTGCCCATCATCCACCATCCAACTATCCAAACACTCGCCCACCTGCCCACCATCATTTTCCCATTCATCCTAACACCTGCTCGTCCATCCGGCCACCTATGAATCCACTTACTAAACCACCTGTTCAACTGTTTGGGTTTTTATAACAAATACCATAGATGGTGGCTTATAAACAACAGAAACTTATTTTTCACATTGGAGGCTGGAAGTCCAAGATCAAAGCACCAGCTGATTTGGTGTCTGGGGAAGGCCTGCTTCCTGGTTCACAGACGGTGCTTTCTCACCAGGTCCTCACACAGGGCAGAAGGGAGAGGGAATTCTCTGGCGCACTAATCAGTAAGGGGGCTAATTGCATCCATGAAGCCTCCACTGTTACAACCTGATTACCTCCCAAAGACCCTACCGCCTGACAACCTCACATCAGGGATTCGAGTTTCAACATATATTTGGTAGAGGAAAGACAACCATTCAGACCCTAGCACTCGCCCACCCACTTGTCTACCCACGTTCCATCATCTTCTCACTCACCACCCCACCTGTTCATCTATCTACCTCACTGCCCACTGGCCAGGCAGCCAGCCAGCCACCTTGTATCCCTCACTGTCCACTCGCTCTTGTCCATCCATCCGTCCACCATCCAATTCGTCCCTGATGAGGGTCAGGCCCTGCCATAGACAAGATCGTCAACGTGCTGTGCCATGGGACTCTTATGTGCTTGGGAAGTCCAGTCCCTCTCCTCTGGAAGCAGACACCACTTCTCCCACTTCACCTGTAGCACCAAAGGTGACAACGTTCCCTGGTGGCAGTTCTGTGCATGCATCTTCAGTTTTCCCTCTTTAGACTGTGAGCTCCTTGAGGGCAGGGTCCAGGTGTGATGGTCTCTGTGGCCTCAGTCCCCATAGCAGCCCCAGGAGGGCCCCAGGATGGTGGAGTAGAGAGCATGCAGGGTAGGGTCCCCTTATGGTTTGCATATTTACTTGCTGTGTGACCTTGGGCAAGCTTCTTAAACCCTGGAGGGCAGGCTGGACATGTATTGATTCACTCGACTGAGCGGAGAGTAGAAGCTTGCATTTTGTGTATTCCTGCCATGTGCTCGGCTCTGTACTGGGTGTTTGCAAAGACGTTATTTCATTTAATGCTTATGGCGGCAGGTGGCATTAGCATCTTCCTTTTGTGTTTGAAGAAGCTGAGGCTCAGAGGACAGCATATTTTAGCTGTTGTCACCCAGCTATTAAGGGACTGAACTGGAATGTGTTCAAAATTCGATGTGAGTGCAAACGTTATCGTCTCCGCTGTAGCAGCCTGCCTTCGGCAATGGAAACACTAACTCAGCTCCTGCAAAGAGGTCCAGAGCCGGCCTCTCCCCTGTGGCTCAATTTGCATTTAAGGAAAAATGAGTGAGCAACCTTAGCCCAAAGAAGATTACTCATTTTTTTGAAATAAAATTTATCTTCAAACCTGGACAATCCATTTAAAACTACCTGGAACCTTAAGTGGTCTGAATTTTCTCAGGATAGTGATGTGTGTCTTGTTCCAGTTAGCTTAGTAATGGCGTTATTCGTGGTCAGAGTTGACATTTGTACTGTTTTATCCTCCTGTTCTTGCTCTTGTACATTTCCTGTTTGTTCTTCTTCTTTATGTTCATCAGATAAAAGGAAAACAAAGTGTATAGCATTGGCATCTTGTTGTGATTTTGGAAAATAAATTGTGCATAGATGGAAATTGTCATTTAAAATTACTCTCTGTAATTTTCCTACACTTAAGACTTTAGACTTTAAAGTCTTACTTTAAGTCCTCCCAATCTCTCCATTCATTCTATCTTCCTCTTGTAAAAGTCCCAGTGGCCTAGGGAACTGCACCTCGCATGGGGCTTGGCTTTCAAGGCTGCACTGGAGGCTCCTGTGCACAGTGACACTTCTCAGAAATAGCTGCCTGCTATTTCTTCAAGATGGTTATTTGGGAGAAAGCACAAGTACCTGTGCATTTAGGAAGTACCTGCTCATGTCTTGGCCACTCTGTCTTCTCATGTAATCTTTAGGGCTGCCTTGTGAGACAGGTGCTGTTTACCCACTGAACAGATGGAGAAGCTGAGACCCAGGGAGGTTAAGTGAGGTCACCACAGGCACCAGCTGCTAAGTATCCCAGGAGCAAAAGGACACGGCCAGAGCCGAGCCATGACTCCTGCCTGCTGCCTGGAGGTCGAGGTCCTGGGGTCAGAGTTTGTTACTGAGGAGCTTGGGGCAGCAACAGTGGCTGGATTTAGTCGATTCTATGCCATCAGCTCACCGGCTCCTTGTCGGTGTGTGCCTGTGACCTTCTCAAGGTTTCATGCTTCCTCTGCTAAAAGTCCCAGTGGCCCAGGGGAACTGCACCTCACGCGGGGCTCAGCTTTCAAGCCCGCACTGTAGGCTGGCCTGCACAGTCACACTTTCCTTGAAAGCTCCCTAAACTGCCCATTATATGTGATCCCCAGCCATTTCTGCCTCAGCCTCTCATCGGCGGAGTAGCTGAGAAAACAGGGTTGCAACTCAGGAATCTGTGGGGTGTAGAATGCTGAGCCTTCAACACTGGAGTGGAGCAAGATGCTCAGGCTCAGAGGTGCAGGTAGGAATGTGAGTGGAGATGTTGGAGGATTCCAGCACAGCTCTGCCTCCTACCAGCTGAGACACCCTCAGGCAGGTTCCTAAATTCTCTGTGCCTTACTTTCCCAAGTGTGAAATGGGATTAATACTGGGACAGTGATAATAATAGTGCATCCTGGTGTGGGTGTGAGGATGAAATGAGAAAGTGGAGGGAAAGCTCTTAGCTCAGTGCCAGTGTATTTTGATGATCAATCTAATCTAGCTTCTGTTACTGTCAGCATTGTCACCACCATCACCATCACCACCATCACCATCACTATCGCCATCACATCATCACCATCATCATTATCACCATCACATCATCATCACCATCACCATCACATCATCACATCATCATCACCATCATCACCATCACCACCATCATCATCACCGTCACCACTATCATCACCATCACCATCACATCATCATCACCATCACCATCACATCATCATATCATCATCACCATCATCACCATCATCATCACCATCACCACTATCATCAGCATCATCATCACCATCACCACCATCATCATCACCGTCACCACTATCATCACCATCACCATCACCATCACATCATCATCACCATCACCACCATCATCATCACCATCATGATCATCATCACCATCACATCATCCTGAACACCATCACCATCACCATCACCACCATCATCATCACCATCACCACCATCATCATCACCATCACCACCATCACCATCACCATCACCATCACCACTATCATCACCATCACCATCACCATCACATCATCATCACCATCACCACCATCATCATCACCATCACCACCATCATCATCACCATCATCACCATCACCATCACCATCACCACTATCATCACCATCACCATCACATCATCACCATCAGCATCACCATCATATCATCATCACCATCATCACTATTATAATCACCATCACATCATCACCACCATCATCATCACCATCATGATCATCATCACCAAGATCATCACCATCACATCATCCTGACCACCATCATCATTACCATCATCATCACCATCACCACCATCATCACCATCATCACCATCACCACCATCACCACCACCACCATCATCACCATCATCACATCATCACCACCACCACCATTACCATCACATCATCATCATCACCATCACTGTCATCACTATCATCACTAACACCATCACCATCATCATCACCATCATCACCATCACCACCATCACCACAACCACCATCACCACCATCATCACATCATCACCATCACCATCATCACCATCATCACATCATCACCATCACCATCATCACCATCATCACATCATCACCACCACCATCATTACCATCACATCATCATCATCACCATCACCACTATCATCCCTATTACCATCACCATCACCATTGCCACCTTCCTCATCATCTCTTCTTGGGCTTGTGGTCATCTAGTAGGATGTTGGGTAAATCACCCTCACTACCTAAATTGTAATTTTCTTTCTCTTGGCTTCTTGTTTTCCCTGAGATTTATTTGTTTATCCTGGATTGGAGTAGGTTAGATGTGAGTGTGATTTGTCACCATTGAGCTGCTGGAGTGGCTGGGGGAGCACAGGCCGACAGGTCCTCGGGGTGGACGGGGCCTGTGGTCACCAGCTCCTGTGTCCCAGCAGCCTGTGGATGGGCTGGGAGGACTGAGAGAACTGCAGTGGCTTTGTGCGAAGGGCCATCTGGGGGCAGTTCTCTGGGCTGAGGAACTGAGAACCTTCACCTAGGTCTGCTGCAGGGCAGAGCAGTTGGGTGAAGCCCCCTGGCTAGCAGAAGACCTGGGATGTGAGAGGGGGTCAAGGGAAAGGGGCTGACTTTCATCTTGGAAGCTGCCCACCTGTTACTCACTTAATCCACAAGCAACACAGCCAGGTAGGTGTGTCCTCCTGTCTGCTTCACAGAGGAGGCAAAAGGCTCCTGCCCCATGTCACACAACCAAGGAGCGAGGCCCCAATGTAATTCCCATTCCCTGCCTTTCCTTTCACATCCACCCAGCCTCCCAGGTTGGGAGTTTCCCAGAGGCAGCTTTGGCTGCTCATGCAGCTGAGAGCCGCTCTCCAAGAGTGGGGGATTGTACCAGCAGTGACCCTGAGCCAGGCTGCCAGGGTTCTGAGCCACCTGGAGGGAGGA